TATCTATCATCTATATCTATCATCTATATCTATCATCTATATCTATCTATCATCTATCTATCATCTATATCATCTATCATCTATCTATCTATATCATATCTATATCATCTATCTATCTATCATCTATCTATCATTTATATCATCTATCTATCATCTATATCTATCACCTATCATCTATCTATCTATCTATCTATCTATCTATCTATCTATCTATCTATCATCTATCTATCTATCCATTCATCCATCCCATCAATCCATCCATCCATTCATGTATTATACATCTATCTGTCTGTCTGTCTGTCTATCTATCTATCTATCTATCTATCTATCTATCTATCATCTATCTATCCATTCATCCATCCATCCATCCCATCAATCCATCCATCCATTCATGTATTATACATCTATTTATCTATCTACCATCTATCTATCTATCTATCTATCTATCTATCTATCTATCTATCTATCTGTGCATATAAACAGACAGATATATTTGGTCAACTCAAGGCAGCAAATATATTTAATATACATCTGCATCCTACTTTCCAAACCCCAACAACCCTGTGAGGTAGGTTAGGTGGAGAATGAGCGACTGGCTCAACATCACCCAGCCAGATTTCCTGCCAAATGGAAGGACTAGAACTCAAAGCCACCTGCTTTCTGGGTTCAGCACCTGAGGTTTTTCAACCTTGGAAACTTCTAGCTCGGCTGGCCTTCAATTCTCCCTCTTAGGAATAGGGCTTCAAATGAAGCAAAATGGGGCCTCCCTTGGTCTCCTTCTGCCAATAGCCAAATCAAGATGGGAGAAAAAGACTCACTTTGTCCATCATGGCAAAAATCCTGTCCACTCTCTTCTCCGGGGTGTTTTCCTCTTCTGGTAGCTCCACCGTGTTACCCTGGTCAAAGAAAGTGAAGATGGCACAGCCCTGGAGACACCCAACCCGCTTCCATGCAGTCCCACGGACTCTGGTGGACTCAATAAAACCTATGAAGATGCTAGAGAACCTACCCAACACAAACCAGGTTGGGGGTGCGCTTGGTATGGTAAGTCTTAAAAGTTGCTACGTTTGGAGACCTCTCTGTGTTAGGCCAAGACCCCTGGTCATCTGAAGGCAAGGGAGAACCCTGGCACTTCCTGCAACTGGGTCTCATTACAGAGGTAACAAACTGTGGTCCTATACTGTCATGCCCTTGTTGGAGTCTGATTCTGAGGGGGGGATTGAACAGCTGACAGGGAGTGGGAGTATGGCTCCGGTGGCTGTGGAAGAAACTGGGGAAGAAACTGTCCAGCTGGGCAGAGCAGGGAAGAGGTAGAGCAAGGGAGAGGGAATTCAGAGGAAGACCCAGGCCCACCCCCTCTTCAGCCTAGGGCATGCAGGGAGGAACAGAGAAGGGAGCAACATGGCTTCCGGGAGAGGAAAAGGCCCTGATCCCTTTCATTGGTTGCAGCTGGGAGAACAGGATATAAGTGGGGCATTTGCACACAGCTCCTTGCTGGAAGCAAAGCGTGCGTTTTCTTTGTCAAGGCTTATCTGGGTCTTGGTGTCCTCCCAACTGTGAGTGCTTCCTTATCTTTTGGAAGTCTGCAATTTATCATCCTGGCCTGTCGTGTTAATTACTTCAGCGTGGTTTGTGTCGGGCTTTTTTAAATTTCTAATTATCTTTACTTTGGGTTCGGATTGCATTTCTTCCCTTCGCGGACTGTTTTTGGAAGAGCTTGATCTCCAGCCGAGGATAATTGGACACTGGGGTCCAAGTTGGAGGCATTAAAGGGAATTTATCTACTTTTGTGACTTTGTTATTTCTTGCCACGCCTCGGGTCATCACATATACTCACCACCATCTGGTAAATAGCATCTACAATGTCCAGCATCTCATTTCTTGTGATGTAGCCATCATTATCCAGGTCATACAGTTTAAAGGCCCCTGAAACGCAGAGGGGGAAAGAGAAAGCGATCAGCAAGGAAAGAGAGAAGCCTTCAAGAATGGAGACTTGTCAGAAAAGGCCCAGCCAAAATCTCTCCCACAATTTATCAGCTATGCAGAATATAGAAAAACAGAGTTGGAAAGGACCTTGGAGGTCTTCTAGTCCAACCCCTGGCTCAAGCAGGAGATCCTATATCATTCTGGACAACCTCTGGTTGTCCAATCAGGATACAAATAAATAAATTAACACCAGCTTGCTTACACCGCAGTTTTTCATCCAGAGTCCCTCGGGAAGTGACTGAAAGGGCCTGGATAAATTCGGAAAACTCAATTCTTCCATCCTGAGAAGAGAAAAGAAAAAGGCCAATATTGAGATCCCACTTGGGAAAAAGCTGTTTAAAGTGCAATTACAAGTGGTCCTCTATTTATGACCATTTGTTTAGGGAATGTTGGGAGTTACAATGGCACAGAAACAAGGAACTCGGATCTCGCAGTTAGGACCAACACAGTAACTCAGTCCTTGTGGTTACGACCAACACAGAGTCCTCACAGTTCTGTGGTTGTAATTTAGACACTTGCCACGTGGGACCTTTCCCAGCCAGCTTGCAACAAACAAAGTCAATGGGGTCATTCATTTAATGACCGTGTGATTCACTTAATGATTTCATGGCAAAAATGTTGGAGAATTGGGCATAACGCCTACCTCGCTTAATATTCCCTTTTCCTCGGTCCTATTTCTGTGAAAATATTGCTCGGGGGAAATATATTTTGGCCACAAAGAAATTAAGATTTATAGGAAGGAAGGAAGGAAGGAAGGAAGGAAGGAAGGAAGGAAGGAAGGAAGGAAGGAAGGAAGGAAGGAAGGAAGGAAGGAAGGAAG